TGATAGATGCATTAAAGATATCCAGCTTACTTGCACCTATTATCTGTTCAATTCAATGCAACATTAAAACCCAATGCAAAGAATTCTAATCTTACGTCTTGACAACACAACTTTATTTAAAAAATTACTTAAATCTCACATAAAAAAGCAGCTTCTATTAAAAAACGTATATTGCTCAAGTAAATGGACTGATGGCTTGACTTCTTTGTTTTGCACAAACTGAGTCAAACTCCTCTGAGTTGGACCTTTGAACAACAAATCCTTGATCGGTCCTTCAAGTCAAACGTTGCTATCCATTATGTGCAAAAAAGGGGCTAAAATCCCATTACATTCTAACATTGTAACAACATTACAATCTAAAAACCAAAATAATGCTTTTTAAGGCAGAAGTTCAATTTACTAAACTAAAAATTAAAGTAAATGAACACAAGAGCACAGATTAATTGCATTTTATTTTTGATAACCCCATTACTGCTATCTGCTATCATAAAGTACACTTACTTGTAGGTTTAAAATTCTACATATGACACAATTATTGCGCTCCGTCTGTTTGGTGGCACTCGTTTCCTTCAAGTCAAACGCACATGGTGTGTGACCACTAGGGCTGGGCGATACAATACAATAAATGCAATATACAGTATATATCTCGGTATTCTGTAAATTTTCTATTTGGATTTAAAAATATATGTATGTAAATATATATATATATATATATATATATATATTACATATGACACAATTATTGCGCTCCGTCTGTTTGGTGGCACTCGTTCACAGAAGTCTATGAAGTTTAGTGGAGAATTGCATGCAGCAGGCTCCTGACAGCAAAATGGAAATATTTCCATGACAGACGGAGAATATACCAGTAAAATATAAGTTATGCACTGAGGAAAACAGCACATCTCAAACGTATTAGACAGCAGCACATGAGTCTGTCAGAGCATCTGACGGGGCGAGCTGCTTTAAACTATACATCTTAACTATATCTTATAGTTAACATGAGTTATTTTAAAGCCCTTAATATAAAGCATGTCTCATGTTTAGGACACTTTATTATGCATTATGCACTTTCCCCGCAGCAGCTCACTCTGAGTCTGCATCCTCCGCTATTATTCAGATGCGCTCGTATCAAACTACTGTATATCGATAAAAACGGTATTGCCTCATACCATATCGCTTATAAAAATTATGTCGTACAAGTTGCATGCCACCAACGATCTAGAAAATACAGCACCTGTGCAAAAACATTGGGTTTCATCTCTGGAATACATGATTTTGACTGTACTTCAACCCTTATTTAGTGCCTAGTGGTGAAGTGTATAGATGGGTTCAAAATGCACACTGTTCAAAAAGGAAGAAAAGTTTGTTAACCTCACCTCTCCGGGTCGTATGGTGCACTCCAGGGGCCTCTTTTTAAATAAAAGTTACACCTTCTTTCTTTGCGTGAACATTTGGGCGGCATTATGCAAATCTTCCCACATAGTGAGGTAGATATGTGGGGGCGTGTTAGAACCAGCCGTTTTAGGTAGGCGTGGTTGACTCTTAACTTTTATAAAGAATATCTCTTTGGATTTGAGACTTTAGTCTTTGCAACTTTACAGATCTTCTTTATGCACCAAGAGCTTGTAACACTCCAAAGAGAAAGGAAAAATTGAAATCGCATCATATGACCCCTTTAAGAAAAAATATAGGAACAACTGAAACCACACGTACGCAAAAATCTCTTACTCTGTAAGGCCTTATAATCGTGTTAAGAAGTTATATTTCATCCTAACCCGACTATAATTATATTGTGTTATGTTGCATTAATTGTATTATATAATCCATATATATATATATATATAATATTAAATAATTTAATTTCATCTTATATACCATCATATACAGTGAAAGAGTGATTCCATCATATACAGTGAAAGAGTGAGAAAAGCTGCGTTATAGCTTCAGCTGTGAGGTTTCTGAATAATGCAGATATATGAGTATGTACAGCTGGCAATCTGTACAATCTGTAATCTAGGTCTGTATAAAAGGTGTTTATTGTGAGATCTGGTGAGAATGACACACTTGGCATTGCTCGAGGATCAGGTGAGTATGGAAGCTTGTTTCCGCCACGGAATAAAACATTTTAAAAGATAATTGCGGCTATTTATCTCACAAGTAATCCACACCACTCCAGTACATCAGATAACGTCTTGTGAAGCCAAAAGCTGTGTGTTTGTAAGAAACAAATCCACCATTAAGGCAATTTAAACAGTCGTTCTGGCCAAAATAGCAGTCCATAACGATTCTTTCAGTTAAAAAATCCTTCCCCTTTTGTCCTCTCACATGAAAATCTACTGATATATTTGTTGAGAACTGTTTTGGACTGTTTTCTAAACAGTGCTTGATCTTTGCACATTTCTCTCCTGATTCAGACCAGCTGATTTTTTTTTTCACTGGAGAAAAAAATATGCAACAGTTTAAAGTTAAAACACATTAATTATGGATTTGTTTCTTACAAACATGCAGTTTTTCACTTCACAAGATATTAATTGATGGACTGGAGTGGTGTGGATTACTTGTAATGTTTTTATCAGCTGTTTGGACTCTCATTCTGACGGCACCCATTCACTGCAGAGGGTCCACTGGTGAGCAAGTGATGAAATGCTACATTTCTCTAAACTGTTCTCATAAAGAAACAAACTCATCTACACCTTAGATAGCCTAAGGATGAGTACATTTTAAGCAAATTTTAATTTTTGGGTGAACCTTTAACGGGTGAAAATGTGTGTATGTGCACTCCAAAAAAACAAATTAGCTGGATCGGAGAGTATGTATTTGCTCATACCAGCAATCCCAAAGCTATATGCAGGATGCATGAATGGAAGAGAAAAAGATGGCGCTTCATACTCTTCAAACAGCGAATGCCACTTCGTGAAGTTATTGTCTCCAAAGAAGTACAGCGTATCTGAAATACAAATGCACACACATTATGAAATAATCATACACAGTGGGGAAAGCTTGTAGAAAGCGCTGATTTAGTGTGTGTGTGTGCAGAGGATGAGAGAACTGACCACTGCCCAGGATGTCTTTAGGCTGAGGGGTCAACAGGAACTTCACAAACTCTTCAAACCGCACATCCACTGTTAAAAGAAAAAGATATTGGAAATATAAATAGAGCAATATAAATCACTTACACAGTACGCTACTGTCTGGGCTCAGTATGATTTTATTGGCCATGCACCTGAAAAGACTGCACAAATGTGTGAAAGTGTGCTCATGCGTCTACCTTTCCTGTATGAGTGTGTATTGGCCCTGCTGAGACGACCGTTTTCTCTGCGTACTCTCTCAACAGATTGGATTTGGAACACAGGGTGTGGAACTTCTGAAACATCCAATCACAACACAGCACTGTTAGGAATGAATCAATAAGAACTTACAGCAATAAACACCTGATATACAGTAAAACCACAATTCTTACGGTGTTAGCTGTAAGTCCTCTGAGTATAACTGGTTTTGCATAAGCATACCTGTAAAATAAAAAAAAAAGATATATTATTTCAGATTTATTATTATTTATTGTTTATTATAATTTTATTTTATTATTTATTTATTATTATTTAAGATTTTAATTTGTACAAGAGCTGCTTTCCAGGATATTACTTATTAATATTTATTATTATTATTATTTATTATTTAATTTACTTTTTATAAGAGTTGCTTTCCAGGATAATTATTTTTTTAAATGCAGTGAAATGCATGTTTTTACAACGAGTGCAATGAAATGAAGCCGGTAACTGCACTAAGAGGAGCAGTAAAAGAGCCCTGACAGCCTGATCCATGTTTCTTCATCACCTGTCCACGCACATGACACCACCTGACTGTTTCACTGCGGTTCACCATCGACCGCTTGCCTTTCAAAAGTCCCTCGACCTTCTCAGTTCCTGGTTTCAGCGCGGCAGTGACCAATCAGCGGAGGCCATACTAGGATGTGGGCGGGGTCTCACAAGTCATACCTCAGGATAGACTCTACTTTATTTTATTTTATTTTATTTGTAATTATATTCAAGAATCGTTAACTATTCTATTTTTATGTTTTTATATTATATACTCTATAATGAAAATAAAGTTTTTTTTGGTGGGGTGGGGGTAATATTTTCATCTTAGTTTTATGGGAATATGTTTATGATGATCTTCTGAGCATAAAAAAGACATCTTTGAATAATGTAATGATTGTAATGATATGTTTGTTCATAATTAAATCCCTAATACTTATTAAAGATACAAAAATTGTATAATATTTTTGTATATTTTTGTAATATAAAATATTTAATACGTGTTAATCTGCTTCATATTTTCTCTGTTTATAGGTTTTGTATTATGTACGCAATAATGAAGAATATTTTCACCTCTGCTTTATGAGCTTATGTTTATATTTGCATTTTAAGATAAACTTCATAAATTCACTTAACATGAATTAAAAACGAACAGACAAGATATCTACGAATAATTAATATAATGATTGTAATGATAAGTTCGCTTGTGATTACTTTCCCTGATGCGTATAAAAAAAAATCTTTGTAATGTTTCTTGCACTATTCAGACGTTGGATGTGTTAAGAATATTATTTTATATTCTAATAATATTAGTAATAAACATGATTCTTTACCACATCTGAATAATACAAGAAACAATATTAATCATATTTTTTTATCTTTCATACGTATTAAGGATTTAAAAATAATTACGAAGAAACATATCATTACATTATTCAAAACAATCTTTGTTATGTTTCTTGTATTATTCAGAAGCTGGAAATAATATATAAGAATATAATTTAATATTCTAATAATATTAGTTAATATTATAAAATATTATTTTTGTTTTATTTTAATGTTTTACCTTATTATTTATTTTTGTGTTAAATAATAATGTTAATAAAACGTTTATATATTAAATGCATGCAAATGAAAATTGAAAAGTATGACGGTAGGAACCAATGTGCTCAGTGTGAAGTCAAACACGGTCAGTAAACACAGTCGCGCCGCTCTGTCTGTCATTGGTGTCAGTCTTCTATACTCTTTGTTGGTGTCCCACAAGAAGGGAACATGAGGAGGTGTCCTCTAACATCATACTGCTGCTGCTGTGCACTCATAAGAGAACATCACAAAAAGCAGACTCTGCAGAGGAACTCGATGCACACTAAAGTGCACACAAGGAAGGTATGTTTACGTTTTCACGTTTTAAACGTCTGCTTAGTGTGTGTAACGTTAGTAGCAGCGCAACACTGGCTGTGTCTCAATCCATAAAGTGCTGCTTACCGAGACAACATTTTTGGGCATCATAAGCACGTCCCGTGCGAAACCATCTAAAGCTGCCCATCTAACTCAATAGGTTTTGAAACGCAGCCACTGTGTTTGTCAACTGCTGTCATGTTGAGTAGTAAATTTACCAATAATATTTTAAACATAATAAATATAAAATAGCATAAACATGCATTAAATAGGTATTATATTTTATTTTTTAGATACTTTTTATTATTTGGTTTATTTAACTTAATTCTACTGTAGTTGTCATCCATCCACACCAGTCATAGTGATTTTTTTTTCATATTATAATTAATATTATATTTTTTGTTTTATTATTTGCATTATTTAAATTTATCCCACTGAAGTTATTATCCATCCACATCAGCCAAATTTATTATATATATATATAATTAGTATTTTTTTTTATTTAATTGAATCCCACTGAATTTCACAGGCTGTGGCTGTAGTTTCTGTCGCGTGATCCGAGCAGGAATGGTGGGCTATGATCCAAACTCCCCCGGCACGGCTCTCACCCCGGAGGAAGCTGCTCTGGCCGGGTCAGCGGCTGGTATGGTCACCCGTGCCCTCATCAGCCCTCTGGATGTCGTCAAAATCAGGTTTCAGGTAAGAACTTTCATTTCACTTTCATGAGTCAGAGGGCTCTTGAGTTTCCGAACTGTACATAATAATGAAATTAAAACATAAATATTAACACATTCAACTAAAGCTGTTTTCATCCACAGCTAACACAATAGTCTCTATTCTAGTACATCTGATTCATATAAGCATCCTCGTGCCTTAAACATGAGTCACGTCTTCCTGCGGAATTTTAGTTCCACTCCCAAATCCACAGCACTACTGAGCACGCTTAGTTCAAAGAAGACTGTTTATCTGCTTTAAACTGGTTACAAATGCACACCAGAAGATGCAGTCCATGAGCCTGTTTGTGCTTGAATTAGTTTGTTTTGTAGTTTTCTGTGCCATAGCAACTGATGGACAGGCCTCAAGGTGGCAGTGCTACACTTTTAGACCTTTTCAATTCTTCACATTCAAACAGTTCTGCTAGAACAGCATCATGTTGACTGTTTTGTGCGTGTGGGTCTGTGCGCAGTTGCAGATCGAGCAGGTGTCCTGGAGGAGTCGTCAGGGGAAGTACTGGGGTTTATGGCAGGCCACACGCTGTATTATGACTGAAGAAGGACTTCCTGCTTTCTGGAAAGGTCACATTCCTGCCCAGCTGCTGTCTGTGTGTTATGGGGCAGTTCAGGTACTTGGAGATAAATAATATGTATTCCTAACATATATAAAATTTTGATGAGGCCAGGAAAATAGGAATCATCTTCCTATTTAATTATTAAGCCGCATAAAAAAAAGGTTTTGACCTTAAATTGAACTGGAAATTGTAAACTGACCCTATTGTAAGGATAGAAAAAGATTCTCTTCTGTTCTATTCTGCTACGATTTTTCTATTCTATTCTATAAGTTAGTCCTGATCATTGTTATTTTAGTATTATTTATATATAAATTTACATATTGTTTTTGTTTTATATATTTTAATTTAGCTTTCATTTATTTTTATTTCAGTGTTTTATATATTAGTATTTTGAATCGCTTTTATGTTTATTTTTTTATTAGTTTTTTTTATTTTGTTACGTGCTTGTGTCATTTTTATTTCTTTTTTTTCTTTTTTTAATTTGTTTTATTCGATTTCTATTACGTTTTTACTTCAGGTTTAGTTTTTGTCATTTTAATTAACTTAAACGTATTTGCCGAGACAACATTTCTCATTTTTGTTTACGTTTTCTGTTTTTCATCTAATATTTTATATTTTATTTCGGCTTTATTTGAGTTGCTGAAAATTATTTTTAATAGTTTTAGTTAATAATAATAATGCTGGTCCCGATGTTGTTGCAATAAATGTTATTTTCTATTTCATTCGTCTTTGAACTTGAAGCAATAAATGAGTTAATATTCAATTCTGTTTTATTCTATTCGATTCTATTCTACATGTAACTTATCCTATTTGGTATTTTAGAAATATCAAACATTAGTGGTCATCCTTTACACAGTTGTAGATATTTGACAAATTCTCTTGAAACTTTTTTTTTTCTGTTTGTCTGTTCTGTCCTAGTTTGCGAGTTTTGAAGCCTTAACAGAGCTGGTCCATAAGAAGACGGCCTATAACAGCCAGACACCAGGAGTGCATTTCATCTGCGGCGGTTTGGCCGCCTGCTCCGCCACCGTCGCCTGCCAGCCGCTGGATACCCTCCGCACACGCTTCGCTGCTCAGGGCGAACCCAAGGTCAGGGGTCAAACCTCAGGAGTGTGATATTACGTGTTACTAAATCATTTGAATGCGCTGTGTCTGAATGCATCTGAAAGGGTGGACGGGTAAAATAAATGCATAATAAATAACTGAATGAAAATGGTAGTTTTAAAAGGTCATGCTCTACTACCAATCAGTGCAAGATTCCTGCAGTTCTCTTTTTGCTAGGCTTTAATGAAACCCACAGATTTTTTCTCATATGTGCAGATGTATCGTAACCTCAGGCATGCCGTGGTCACAATGTTCCGCACAGAGGGGCCCTTCACCTTCTACAGGGGCCTCACACCCACCGTAGTGGCCGTGTTTCCATATGCAGGCTTGCAGTTTTTCTTTTATAATATCATAAAGAAACTTCTGGAGCCCCAAGACACCAAATCTAAAGGTCAGAGTATGCTTTTTAAACTGTGTTATTTCAGTATTTTTTAATGTGCTATTATAATATTTATTAATATTTTGAATGAGCTTTTAGCTTTTTTTAATTTTTATTTATTTATTTGCTTTTACAAAATTCTTTATTTTCTTATTCAGCCAATTAGCTTTTATTTTTATATTTTCAGTTTTCATTTTTATTTAAAACTTTTTTTGTGTGTGCTTTTTTTTTTTTTTTTAATTAGATTTTTTATTTTGTTTAGCTTTCATTTATTTTTTATTTCATTTTTAGTTTTAGCCATTCTTCAACTGCAACTTATTTTAATTTAGTCCCCAAGGCAACATTTCAAATTTTCATTTAAGATTTTTAAGTTTCTCATCTAATATTTATATTTTATTTCAGCTGTATTTCAAATAATAGAAACTTTTTTAAATTTTTTTTTTATTAGTTTTTTTGTTTTATTTTTGTTTTTTTTGTTTGTTTTTTTAGTTCCTTAGCCATCTTCAAGAATCGGCTAAAAACACATGTCTTCCATCTTTATTTGACCCTCTAACTCTAGCACTCTCTATTCTAATTCTATTCTTTATAAAAAAATAATAATAAAAAGAACTTACCCCTTTTAAACTTGCACTCTATTTATTTACTAACTGCTTGTTTTCTTAAAACAAAAACTAACACTTGCTTCTCTAATCTTTTTGCATTCTATTTGTTTTTTTCTTTTTATTTATTATAAAATTATAGTTCTGACTTCTGACTTCTTATTAACAAAAGCAAAAAAGTCCTCTAACACTTCTCCCAGTGGTAATGTTGCTGTGGTGTCATGTCTGTTTTCAGGAGGTTTACACAGTCTGATCAGCGGTAGTTGTGCTGGAGTCATCAGTAAAACAATGACGTATCCGTTTGACCTGATTAAAAAGAGACTTCAAGTGGGTGGATTTGAAGAGGCCAGGATGAAGTTCGGACAGGTGGGTGGAGGTTAAAGATCTGAGCTGCTAACCAAAAGACTCTAGCTTTGATCAATGTCCCTATAATAACTATTTCTGCTTGCTAGGCTAACTTCACTGTTACTAATTAATATCTAAACCTTAAGAATGACACTTCTGCTATTTTATACCTGTAGATTGTAGGCATTTTTGAGCTGAATACACTTTTGATTAAAATTTTGGGGTCTGTAAGACTTTTTTTTTAAAGAAATGACTACTTTTATTCAGCAGGGATGCATTAAATTGATGGAAAGTGGCTGTGAAGACATTTATAATGTTACAAAAGATTCCCATTTTAAATGAACCGTTCAAAAGAATCCTGAAACAAATATGAAGCAGCACAACTGTTTTCAACATTGATAATAATAAATCTTTCTTGAGCATCAAATCATCATATCAAAGTGATTTTTGAAGGATCATGTGACACTGAAGACTGGAGTAATGATGCTGAAAATTCAGGTTTGACTCCTAGTAATAAATTACATTTTAAAATATATCCAAATTGAAAATGGTTATTTTAAATTGTAATAATATTTTACTGTGTTTTTGATCAAATAAATGCAGCCTTGGTGAACATAATAAGAGATTTCTTTCAAAAACACTTTTGAGGACTTCCGGTTAGGCGAACTATGGAGTAAGATGTGTTCGTGGGGGTTCCTGCAGAATTCGACCATATTTCGATACTTATGCACATTTCCACATAATACTCAGTGTCTAGGTGTAGTGTTGGTTAGTGGTGTTTTATTTTTTTTCATTTCTTGCAACAAAAATGAAAACTAAAAGCAGTAAAGGAAGTAACGCGCAGACATCGCAACAGCGGCCTGCTACTACAAGCACGTCCTCGGCAGAGCTAATGTTAATTAAAATGTTAATGTTATTCAAAAAAGCAACATAAAAATGTCATTATTAATATTATACCAAATAAAACACAGACACATTGTAAAAAATATATACTTTAATTTGAATTATTTAGTATCTTTTCAGATTAAATCAACAGGGTAAACCTCAATCATTTCTTCATTTTTTTGTGACACTGCTTAGGCTGGATTTAGATTAAAAACAGCTACGAAATCTCATAAACTTCTAATTGTCTCTGAATATTTCTCACATCATACAACCTTTCGGCTTTCTGCGAGAATGTACGACAACAGACAAAAATAATATTGGTAACAACAATAAAAATCAATGTACAAAGTTATAGTCAAGTATATTATTGTGGAGTGATATAAATCGATACCTTAGTGTAGTGATGGTAGTAGGCTATATAGGCTAATGATTTCATAATTAACTTACATCATTAGATGATTGCGATGGTGACCATCATAAGTGTGGCCAACATAGCAAAAGCCATGGTGAAGTCTTCCCAGGAAATGGGCACTTTGGTGTTCAGGTTGGTAAACTCCAAAACGATGATGAGGAGGGTCGTGAAACAGCAGAAGCACCAGCAGAACATGCACCAAGCCCAGTGGGACGTGGCTGTGTTCGGGATTCCCGCTGACGCCGCCAGTGCAAAGCAGATGCATGTTAGAACCACCTCCACCATCCGAACAATGCCAATAGGCAGAATCAGTGTTCTGAAATCCAAGTGCAACATCACAAAACTCTTTCACCAATCCCAAAGCCTTTTTGTTTTTTTCCAGAATCCCAATGATTTGATTTCTCAAAACCGTCTTACATTCTTCTGAGCTTCTTTGTGTAGTTTTACTGTGCCATAAATGTCAACAAATCCATAACAGATCCAGTTAAACTCCTTTTTTTTTCTCCTCACGTCGTCCTCTGGTTTTTGTATTCCACAGGGATTCTTGACAAATCAATAGCCAGAAGTAAAAATTCAGTTCCTTCTCAGGTGGCTGCAAACATGTTTGATCATGTTGACACTAGAACAGAAGCCGTTTCGAGCTTATCGCTTTTATGACCTTTCTCCAGGTTCTCATTGGTCGCTGGTCTGTTGTTGTCCTATGAGCTGATTCCAAACCCTGAACTCTGGTCTAGAGCCGGGCTCTTTCTAATCTTCACCTATGGGCTTCAGTCCCACCTCAAGATAACTTCTGGTTTAATCACAGGAAAGTTTAAATTGGATTATTCTTTTACTTGTCCTGATAACAGTATGATGTGGAGTACTAGGTTTATATAGGCCAAGAATGTTTGCCAGATAAAGCAAACAATCTAGCAGAACTCTTTCTTTGTCTACGGCTTGTAAAATGATTTAGAGCTTTTCTCTTCATTGCGCAACATCTTCAGTTTTATTTGCTACTGAAGCCTATTTCCTCTGCATAATAATAATTAACCATGCTTTGGTAAAAAAAATCAAAAGTGTGACACAAAAAGTCAAAATTATGAGATACAAATGATCATAATTATGATATAAAAAGTTGAAATTATGACAAAAAGTTTCAATAAAATGGTAAAATGTCATAGTTATCATAAGTCAAATTTCTAAAATACAAAGTGATAATTATTAAATAAAAAGTTATTATTATCATAATGACATGAAAAGTCAAAATGATGTTTTATCACTTTTTTTTTTTTTTTTACACCATTTTGCCTCTGTCTGTCTGTATGTGTGTTGTTTTAAATGCTAGCTGCTATTTTCATGTTGAAATCCAGGTTAAATAATAGATAAAACAACAACAAGATCTTTTTTTTTTAACTCAAAAAACAGCAATAACAAAAAATACTTGAAGTGTTGGCATTCAACTGGTCATGATAATGACTTGGCTGTACATTGTAATCCCTTAGTTTTGTGTTTAAACTGAAGTGTTATTGAGATTAAAGTATACTTGCACTAGCTGACAAACTATAATCTGATAGAATTTGAAATAGAGCAGAGAGATTATAAGCAATAGGTAATTTAATATACAAAAAAGATGCATATATTCAACTCAGTCAACATGAAATGGCATTCACAAGTCATTTTACTTCTATATTGTAATGCATTTCTGAATGAAACAGTATATTCTTCTGAGTGAAAAAAATGTAGGGCGGGTTTGATTTATCTATAGGGAACTTATTGGATAATGTAAGTGGGTGTATTATCAGTGGATTGTGTTGGTTACTCCAGTCCCAAAACACTGGTAACATTTCATGGGGTTTTATGAGGATGACAAGGTTGAAGGTCATCCTCCTGAGCATCTCAATTATTTGCTGTTATCTTTAGTACATTAACATTATGTTAGCATACGTTACATAAGAGTTCATCTAGAGTCATTGTTAGGATCAAAGATCAATATTAAGTTGACAATGAATGTTACAGTTACACTGTAAACCTGAAGTTGAGAGAACTCAAAAAAATTTGAGGTAATCAGTTACATAATTTTTTTTTTTAATTATGATGTCTCCAATTTTAACAACTATTATTTTTTGAGTTTGTTGTACTCATGTATGTTAATTACTCTTAACGGGAGGCACTGAGTAACTAACTCATACATTTTGATAGAAATTAACATAAAATATTTAGTTAAATTATTTTTGAATTGTTGCAACTCAAATTAATAAAAATTATACTTCCAGTATCGCGTGAAACGAGACCGAGCCGCATTCTTAAGAAGAAAAATTCAATGCTTTTTTTATGAGAGAATTGTCAGCAAATAAGAAAGCAGTTACAATACAAAAATATTAAATAATAATAAAAAATGAACAATAATAATGAAAAAAAAAAACAAGACGGGTATATAATTAAACAAAACACATCGCATTCAAAGGAAAAGATTGAACAACTTACAAATTTCAATTGTTTTTCAATAAAAAATGAACAATAATAATGAAAAAAAAAAACAAGACAGGGGTATATAATTAAACAAAACACATCGCATTCAAAGGAAAAGATTGAACAACTTACAAATTTCAATTGTTTTTAAAGCTTATTACTTGAAATAGTCCCAAAGTAATGCTGTATTTCAGGCAAGCAAAACTAAAAAAGTGGCTTCTAACTTGAGAATTTACATTTATGCATATAAAATTGTGTTAACCAAATAAAAAGTATACTTTGTTTTTCTGTAAATGCACTTTTTTTCCAATTAACAAGTCCAAACAAAACATTTTCCCCAAAGTAAAGAAAATTCTTTATCAATATTCTCATTAACAAATAAGGAAAAATCTTTCCACAACAATTAGAGTAATGGCAGTGCCAAAATAAATGCACTATAGTCTCTGGGTGCCGTTTACAAAAAGAACAGTTTGTATCAATATCTTTTTTGTGTTTCTTTAAGACATTATTAACAGGATATACGATGGATAATTGATAATGGAAATTTCTTTTATCTTATTAGTAATGAAGTATCTATTCGGAATCAGCCAAACTTTCCTCCAGGCAATATCAGAAACAAAAGCATTCCAATAAACTGTAACATTTGGAACTGACACAAATTCATTAAGAAATAACAAACGTATTGACTTTTTAGAAGAAGTGGCTGAAAATCAATGTTTCCCCACCACTGAAACAGTAGGACCTAAATGAATCAGGATCTTTTGAAACAGTCTAATAACTCCATTTGGTATGGCATCAAAAACAATAGCAAATTCTTTAGGGGTAATGGGAATATTAACACGACAATGAAATTCTTCATAGTTTAGTAAGTGGCCATTCTCATTAAACAACTGATTTACGATTGGAATATTTTCATCAAACCAGCGCTGAAAGAAAAGAGATTTGTTTTTATACAGAATATCTCGGTTATTCTTTGAGCATTAGGGTTTACACTCATAAATACATAATGATGAAGGCAAACTGATGTGTCTTCTCTCTTTCTTTCGCTTTCTGCAGTTTCACTGGTAATATATATAACAGCTGTACTTCTCATCCAAGCTGATGCCACAAACTGGCTACTTTTAGTAGATTTTACATTTCACAACTTACAAATGAGGAACATCACAAGCACTTTATCACACAACCGTTGTGGTTTTCTAGGCAGGTGAAACGAAGATCACCAGACGCACTGAGTAAACCGTATCCACGATGTAGACGATCAGATTGATGCAAGTCATGCAGGACACAACGACCAGCCTGCTCCAGAGACAGTTTCTGCAGACTGATGGTCTCAGCACTTTCTGGAAACTGTAGACGGGCCATACCACCACAGCCGTGAGGTACATTAGAACCGCCAGTATGTTGTACCCCGTCAGACATTTGTCCAGCGGGATGGGGATTCGAGCCAACAACCTGCCGATGGTGAGGATGATGATAAGTAGAGCAACGATGAAGCAGATTGAGTAGACGGCCACGCACCACTGGAGCCCAGGAAACCTGCTGTACAAGCCCGAATCCAGACAGATGAAGATGATGCAGGCCACGAACGCCTCTAGGACCTTCAGCAAGCCCGGCACGGTGGACAGGAACCCGCTGATCTCCCCGGCTTTGGCTCGGGTCAGTCCCACCTCGGCTGCGTAGAGGCCGAAGCACACGCAGGACATCACTGTGGCCGCAATCTTGACCGAACATGAGGAGCATACGTAAAACGTGGGGTAGATGATGGAAGCGGCCAACAGCATAAGTGTGGACAACATCGCAAAAGCCGTAGTGAAGTCATCCCAAGAAATGGGCACCTTGGTGTTGAGGCTGGTGAACTCCAGGATGATGATGAGGAGGGTCATGAAGCAGCAGAAGCACCAGGTGAACATGCACCAGGCCCAGAATGAAGTGCTGTTGTGGCCTTCAGAAGCCACCAGGCTGAAGGTAATGAGCGTTAGTGCGAACTCAAACTGTCGGATTATTCCCACCGGCACGGTGAGCGATTGAGTGTTCAGGGTTACCATGATGATGGTGTTGTTCCTCCTTAAACGTCACTTAAATTGATGTTCTGCCTTGATTTCGATGCCTTTAGCGTTCAAAACGTTGTCTTCTCATTGACTTCTCTCTCATACTCCCAAAGTTTCTTGGCTTTTCCACTCTTTTCTCAGCCTGATCGTTGTCCGTATCAACTCCAGGTTAGTCTTCACACACTAACCTCATCCAGAAGGAAAGCCGTCCAGGGAGGGGCAGCATGTTTTCAGCCACATCCTCTGATTATTCATTACCTTATCAGTAGCACCTCAGTAGATTGGCCCCGGTTTGTAAATGTCCAGTTCAAATGAGGAGTGTGAAGATGAGAAACTGGGTGGACCCTGAAATATCACAGCTAAATAAGATGATGAGCATCTGAATACTAAAGGCGGAGGGAAGAAATGATGGGCTTGATTTATGTATTAGCTCTCATTTGTGAAACAAGGCTATAAAAGATGGAGAGACATGCTCTGAAGATGAGAAATTAAGGTCTCCAGAAGAAATCAGGTTGAGCTTCTCTCCATGACAGGGTGCACCAAAAACCTGGCAGCTTTTACCATGTGAAATTACACGCGATCCGAGCTTTCTCATTTTATAAAGCAAACGCATACTTTAAAGATATGCTTATTTGTCATTCTCATTGCTTATTATTATTTTTATGCTTTTTCCCTAAATATTGTTTATATTTTGGCCTTTGAGCTTGTTTTAGGTATGAAAGATGGTATAGAAATAACATTGCATGTTTATTTTTGTTTTTGTTTTATTTATGTTTTATGTTTGTTTATTTTAATATGCTTTCTTGTCATCCTTGTTGCTTATTGTTTTTATGTTTTTTTTCCTCTGTAAATATTGTTTATATTTTGACCTTTGAGCTTGTTTTAGGAATGAAAGGTGCAAATTAACATTGAATATTTATTTTTATGTGCTTTTTTGTCATTCTTGTTGCTTATTATTTATTATTTTATACTTTTCTCCCTTAAATAATGTTTATATTTTTAACCTTGAACTGCTTTTTTGAATGAAAGGTGTGAATTGATGTTGTATATTTATATTTATTTTTATGTTGTTGTTTTTTTTTATGTTTTTTTTTTTTTTTTTTTTGCTTTTTTTTTTTTTTTTGTTTTTTTTTTTTTTTTTTTTTGTTGCTTATTATAAAAAAAATGCTTTTTTCCCCTAAATAGTGTTTATATTTTGAGTTGCATTTTAAAGGTACCATTGAAATGTTCGCACTTTATTTTACAGTACGTGTACTTACAGTGTACTTACCTAAACTGTACTGTAATATAAGGTAATTACATGGGTTAAGGTTAGGTTTAGGGGTAGGTTCAGGGTTAGTACCTAGTTATACTATAATAACTACATAGTATGTACATGCGAAACAAAATAAAGTGCTACCGAAATAACACTGAATATTTATTTTTGTTCCCTGTTATTGTTTTTATATGCTTTATTCTCGAAATAATGTTTATATTTTGGCCTTTGAACTGCATTTTATGTATGAAAGGTGCTATAGAAATAACATAGTATATTAGAATACTATCCTTGCTTCACATTACCTAAAGTCATCTTTGTGGTCCAAATATCCAACTAATTATTCATCATCTGCTGCTAGAAGTTCTAAGCATTGATAATGGTGACAACATCACTGTAACATCTTTATCCCAGTAGTTTGTTTAAGTGTCATGAGGTCATAGTTTGTGAAATATTTAATTTGCAAAGTATGCTTTCACCACCATGCCTTAGTTATTGTCTAACTAAGTATTGTATAAAGGGAAGTGAATTTGAATATTGCAGTAGAAAAGTAAACAAATGAGGCTATGAAATGGGTTTGTGTCTTTACAGGGATGTGTTGGAGAGACAGACAATATGTGCTGGACTTTGACCTTACTGTAACTGTGTACAGAGTCAGATCACACCTATTGACACAGACATATACAATTAGAAATAAAAAAGTAGCACAACACCCTAAATACTGCATTATCTTCATATATCTTACATTTACTACAAGATAAATTCTGTATGTTTCATGACAACTTCACTTTTGGACCATTGTGTTTTTTTATGATGATTTAAATGCTAAACTGCAACCAGAGATGTTAAATAGTTTTTTTTATAACGGGCAATCTCTTTAACGACTCACAATGTTATATCTTGTTTAATTTGAAGTTAAGTTTAGTATTTCCGATTTATAATAAAAGGGTTAGCATGAATAGTGGTATATTCAAAATTAAGTGTCATTGGGAAATTAAGTCTATTATAATAAAAAAAAAAAAAAAAAAAAAAAAAAAAATTTGGAAAAACGTGCTAGTTTGTGAAAATGTATATTATGAAATGTTTTAAACAAAAATGGCTTTGTTTTTGTCCAATATTACAAAATGGTTAAATACAATTAAAAAGTGCATTTAAAAAATACTATAAAACTATTTATTTTGTTTTATATTTCATTTCATTTCCTTGAATTTTGAGTTCCTCGTCGTCACGACGCGCGACGCGGAAACACCGATGACGCAAATGGTGTGCGCCGGAGGAGTGTAGTGTTGACCATAGACATAATAAATATTATTATTTATTATGTCTATGGTTGACACCATTGACACAAGCGTCTGTCGGTGCCAGGCACAGAGATGTCAATATAACTGTGGTCATATTTTCTCCGATGAACATGATCAAAAATCATGGCTCCTTACCTGAGAGGTCTGTATTAAATTCTGGTTCAACCTTCACTGTAATCTATTTTAGTTTACTGTATGATTTATTATTGACCGCAGTGGAAGAAAACTCATGTCTTTTCTTGAGCTCTATATGTTTGCAAACTTTAGTTTCAGTTTTAGACGTGTGCATTCTGACATTTTACCTCACAGATTGAATTTGGAACTATCCATCGTCGCTATGGAGACAAGCCCCTCCCCTTCTAGTAATGGAACAAGCCTCCTGTCGTTGCAATGGGAGATAGTTACCCAGATCGCCTCACATCTCCCAGCACAGTGTGTCATTAATGTGCTGCCGCAGGTAAGCATTTTCAAATTCAACAGACGTTTTGAAGCCAAAATTGACATTTTTTTTCTATCACTAATTGTGTATGCATTTCTTACTAATAGTAATACATGTATAAATACTAAGAATAATATTAATACATTTAAATAACTTTTTTTTGTTTACCTTTATATGATAAACAATTGTTTTTGTGCTCACGGATCCTATAAACCTTAAACCTTTTTGTTTGAAAGTTTGGGGTGAATTATATTTTTTAATGTTTTTGAAAGAAGTATTTTATGCTCACCAAGACTGCATTTATTTGATCAAAAATACAGTAATATTGTGAAACATTATTACAATTTAAAATGACGGTTTTCTATTTGAATATATTGTAAAATGTAATTTATTCCTGTGATGCAAAGCTGAATTTTCAGTGTCTTCAGTGTCACATGATCCTTACAAGGTACGCGATACAGTACGAGACCAAACGCTATTATATTATTAATATATAATAATAACCACATATTATTATTATCAATGTTGAAAACAGTTGTGCTGCTTAAATATTTTTGTGGAAACCGTGATGTGTGTTTCAAGATCCTTTGATGAATAGAAAGTTCAAAAGAACAGATATTTTGTAACATTATAAAAGTCTTTACTGTCACTTTTGATCAATTTAATGCATCCCTGCTGAATGAAAGTATTAATTTCTTTAAAAAAAACCTTGAACTCTTGCTCTTTGTCTGTGTTTACGTATGTCAGACGTTGGGAAAGCTTAACGAGGATCGCTTGGCGTGGCAGCTTCGGGCTCAAAAACTCTCGGGTCCCACAGCATCTTTCCCAGTCGGGCCAAAGGAGGGTTTTGATTGGTCCAAGGCCTGTTTGGAAATGGAGCAGCTGATTGGCTGCTGGACAGGGCATGAGAATCAGGCAGAGAGACAGGACGAGGCAGCTGGTGGGGTGAAAGGTGAAGCGCCGGCAGCTGAGGGGAACTTGGTAGAGATGCAGCTGGATGTCGATTTAAGTGGTGCAGCGGAAGCAGGAGAAGAGAGCGTGCAAGTTCAATCCCAGAATGCCTCTGACATTTCCCAAGTCGTGGCCTAATGGTTAGAGCAGTGTTTCCCAACCCGGGTGCCGCGGCTGTCTGTTGAGAGCAGGGGTGCCTTGTAAAAAAATCATTTTTTAAAATATTTTTAAATTGCTAAAATGTTTTTAAAAAAAGCATCTATTATATAATATCCATTTCTGATGTCGCCAATAATTAGAGATGCACCGAAATTTCGGCTGCCGAAAATGAGTTCACCGCTCAGGTTTCACTTTCACGTGGTGTGACGCTCTGCGTATTATCCCGCTCTATGCGTGTGCGCTCCGCTCATATATCAGTATAATTTATAACAAATAAGTATTATTTAAGTGTATTTTATCTAATATATAATATTTAATAAAATATTTGTATTTTATTTTATTTAATCTCAGCTTTATTTTAATTACAGAATATTATTTTTAATAGTTTTAGTTTTTGCTTATATCAGTGATTCAAAATTATTTGCATTTAAAAAAAATTTTTTAATTTTAATTAGCATTCATACTTAAAACACTAAATTTAGAGATAAATGACTGTTGCAATGTTTAATATGAAAATAAGTGACTTGGGATGTTTATGTACACATTATATGTACAGAGGCCCCAGAAAGTATTTGAACAATTAAACCTCAATGAGAAATGTATAAAAATATTTGCATTACATAACAAAATATCAGTGCTTCTGCACCTTATACTTTACATGAAAAATAGCTTACTAAATTAAAAACACTTAAGCAGAATAAAAGGATCATGTGATACTGAAGACTGAAGTAATGATGCTGATAATTCAGCTTTGCATCACAGGAATAAATTACATTTTAAAATATATTAACATAGAAAACGGCTTTTAAATTGTAACAATATTTCATAATATTACTGATTTTACTGTATTTTTATCAAATAAATGCAGTCTTGGTGAGCATAAAATACTTCT